CATTGCTGCTATAAACATTGGGGTGCACATACCCCTTTGGATCACTACATTTGGGGGGTGGGACGGATGGGGTGGCTGGGTGATAGACAATGGGGAGGGTATGTGCTATGCTGAGCGCTGGGAATTCTGTAAGACTGATGAGTCATATACCTGTACCTCTGAAACAAATAATACATTATATGTTAAAAAGAAAAAAAAGTAGGAAGGGAAAAATGAAGGGGGGGAATCAGAGGGGGAGACGAACCATGAGAGACTATGGACACTGAGAAACAAACTGAGGGTTCTACAGGGGAGGTGGGTGGGGGTATGGGTTAGCCTGGTGATGGGTATTAAAGAGGGCACATATTGAATGGAGCATTGGGTGTTATATGCAAACAATGAATCATGGAACACTACATCAAAAACTAATGATGTACTGTATGGTGATTAACATAACATAGTAAAATAAAATTAAAAAAAAAAAAAATAAAGCACCTGTCCTGCACCATTTAAAAAAAAAAAAGTTAGCAGGCTTGGCTGGGATAGAGCCCAAGTGCACTGCACTGCTCCAGGCAGGCAAGCAACACAGAGGCAGCATGAAAACACGTATCTGAAAAACGCTTGCAACGCACAAGAAGAAATTATTCCCTCTTCTGGGAGTGCTTCCCTGAGAACAGCAGCACAGAGACCACTCTCCACGGACAAAGGATGGCTGGCTGGTGCCACTTCCCTGCTCCACCAAGTCCTACCCACCCTGCACTCTGTTGGAACTACTTTTCTCCTGCAACTGTGCATAAGTCCCAGTGCAACAGGCCCCTGCCCCAGAAAACCAATAGTAACCCCCACACATACAACGTATACTGACCAGAGAGTTCAGCAAGGCTTCAGTTCTAGTGGAAGTAGCACCAGGTCTCATTTAACAAGTAGACCAGAGTATGCCTAGTTAAAACTCCCTACACACTAGCCAAGGTCCAAACAATCCCCACTGCAGGCAGAGAGCCTCTGCAGAGGCTTGCTTGAAGGAGAGAACAGTGGAAACACAGTAGCAGAGTGCACACAGCACACACCAGATACACTTGCCAGGCCCTGGACACTATATGACACCCTCATAAAGCCATTACTCTCTGGAGAAGGAAACATAACAGACTTTTCTAAAACAGAGAAGAAGATAGAGACTTACATAAAACGCCAAGATGGAAGAATTCATCTCAAAAGAAAGAACAAGAAAAGTTCACAGCCAGGAATGTAATTTAAACAGATGTAAGTGGGGAGCCTGCTTCTCCCTCTGCCACTACTCCCCTGCTTGTGCTCTCTCTCTGATAAATAAATAAAATCTTTAAAAAAAAGATTTCTGGGGTTGTGTCAGAAGGACACAGGAGCACTGGCCAAAGGTTCGAAAGACGGGGAAAAGATGGTGGAGGAGTAGGGGTCCCTATTCCAACCGGTCCCGAGAATCGAGCTGGATATCCACCAGACCACTGTGAACACACAAGAAATCAGCTTGAGATGTAAGAAGATAGATCTTGAATTCTACAAACAGAATATTGCAGGTGGCTGGTTTCGAGGTAGGAAGAGGGGAGCCATGATTCTGCGGGCAGATATCCGAAGATAAACGGAAGGGGAAGGGAGCCGAGCCCTCGGGATCCTACACGGCGAGTGAGCGACAGCATCCCAAGCTGCGGACGGGGCACAGACTCGCAGACCGGTAGCAACAGGGAAAGGACTTTAGGGCGACCCAGGGACTGAAGCTGGAGTGGAGGGGCTGCGTGTGTGAACTGGCGGCAGCTGGCGGATACAGAAGCACAAAGGGCAGAGACGTGCCCCGACCTGGAGGTGAGGACTGGGAACGCTGCGGAGGGGCGCACAACCCAAGATGCTGCAGTTTATAGCAGCACAGACAGAAACGGAGATAGCGTGGCCTGGAGAGCTCACTGAAGAACAGACTGTGATCTCTCTGCTCTGAGGAAGAGGGCTGGAAACGGTCTCTTCTGCTCTGACTCTCCAGAGAACAAAAGCCCCCAAAAACTGGTTTGCACTGAGCCCATCCCCCACCACAGGGGGGCAGGCAACTCTGCCCCAACAGGGTTGCCTGAGTAACAGTGTGGCAGGCCCCTCTCCCAAAGACAGGCTGGGAAAACAAGAGGCCAGCAACCCTAAGGTTCCTAGAAAACAGGTGCATTTTGCTTGGGTTCTTGTCAATAATTTGGACTCTATACATTCCCTCAACCACCCCTCAACAGAATGACTAGGAGGAGGAACCCCCCAAATAGGAAAGACTCAGAGACTATGACTTATGCAGATTTACAAATGGATGCAGATATAACCAAGATGTCAGAGACGGAATTCAGGCTAGCAGTTGTAAAGACAATCGCTAGAATGGAGAAATCAATTAATGGCAACAAAGAGTCTCTAAGGGCAGAAATGAAAGCTGAACTGGTAGAACTTAAAAATGCTATCAATGAGATCCAATCTAATCTAGATAATCTAACAACTAGGGTAAGCGAGGCAGAAGAATGAATTAGTGACCTAGAAGACCAACTAATAGACAAAAAGGGAAAAGAGGAGGCCAGGGAAAAACAACTCAGAATCCATGAAAATAGAATCAGAGAAATAAGTGACACCATGAAAGGTTCCAATGTCAGAATCATTGGGATCCCTGAGGGGGTGGAGACAGAGAGAGGACTAGAAGAT